GGGGGCCGGAGTCCGGCCGCCGGGCGGTTGGCCGCTCCGAGCCTGGTCGGCGAAGCGCGCTGACGGTCTGACGCCCTGACGTGGGAATGGCAGGGGGCCACAGCAGCTTGGTTTCGTGGGGCTGGCTTTTGGCCGAGGTGTGAGGTGCCCCTTGTGGGACGCCTAGTCCAGCTGGGCTCTGCGGGCCGCGGTCTGACCTACTTAGTTGGACTTGGAAGTTCCAAAGCTGGCAGGAGTGGCGTTAGAGTCCTTGCCTCTTGGAAGCGGTAAACCGCGTGCTGGTCTATCAAATGAACTCGTTTATTGTTGAACAGTTCCCACTGTGTATTCGATTTCTTTAATAGGAGGTAGTTTTATGACTTGAGAATGATTGAAGTTTTCAAAATGATTAATGTTTTCGAGAGTGAAGTTAATTGACGTTATGCTGCCCATTACCGTGCTATTGTACTCTAGGATAAAGTGGATTAAAATTTAAACGGGATTAATTCTCAAATGACTTGAGTAATCTTAGTAAAAATAAAGCATTATATTGTCATGTAATTTCAGTGACTTTCATAATAAAATCAAAATGAGTTACTGCCATTTGTTAAAAGAATACTGGACTTAGGTACACAGTGTAGCTATGGCCTTGGGGAACACGAGATTCGTCTCCATTTTCACTTAAACTGTATTATCAAATTCTTTCCAAATTATAAAATTCTATAATTCTTCTGAAATATTAGTGATCTTTTAGCAAGTTTTTGTGCTTGTTTGTTGGCCAGTAACATTGCTTTGCTGAAGTTTTTTGAAGCTAGGGAGCGCTGTTGACAGGTACCATTGACGTGGAATATGTTAACATTGCGCTCCATCTGTTTCTGTGCTATGTTTACTTAACTGTACTATAAGTTTTGGAAGGGCAGTTACCAAATTGGTAGTCCTTTATTGGTCCATCCATCATTGCCTTCTGGATGGTTTACTTTTGTTAGGAAAGTGATAATTAGAATTAGTGAAGCAGAGTTCTTTGAAGCACTTGTTAAACGGGAAAGTAGGGAGCAGACAGGAAAGTTTTCTCCACACTTGAGAACTCTTTACAATTACTTACAGAAAGATGGAAGTGGAGTTACTTTGGATTGCTAGCACACTTGAGAACTCATTACTCTTAGAGGAAGATGGAAGTGGGGTCACTTTGGATTTCTAGGTTGATGTTTTAGAATGGTTTTATATGTTGCATACTTGTAATCAGTGGTGATTAGTATTTTAAGTGGCAAACAAAATGAGCACACATTTTTGGAAATGTCCAGCAAGCACATAAATCAAGACTAAAAGCTTAGTGAAACTCTTAAAAAGAAAATACACAAAATAAATGATATGAGGTTCATAATTTATTTTTATTTCGAAACTGTATTCACTTTTGTGTTCCTTGTCTTTATAGGTTTTTAAATCAAAGATGGGAAAATCGGAGAAAATTACCCTTCCCCATGGCCAGCTTGTTCATGGTATACACTTGTGTGAACAACCAAAGATAAACAGACAGAAAAGCAAATATAACTTGCCACTAACCAAGATCACCTCTACAAAAAGAAATGAAAATAACTTTTGGCAGGATTCTGTTTCGTCTGATAGAATTCAGAAGCAGGAAAAAAAGCCTTTTAAAAATACTGAGAACATTAAAAATATGCATTTGAAGAAATCAGCATTTCTAAATGAAGTGAGCCAAAAGGAAAATTATGCTGGGGCAAAGTTTAGTGATCCACCTTCTCCTAGTGTTCTTCCAAAACCACCTAGTCATTGGATGGGAAGCACCGTTGAAAATTCCAACCAAAACAGGGAGCTGATGGCGGTACACTTAAAAACGCTCCTAAAAGTTCAAGGTTAGATTACAGTATGTATGTAAAACATAGTTTTCCCTATATCCCTGGACGCTAAAAGAAAATTGGTACAGAAATGGAAATTGCTTTGTTGCAACATATAAGTATGAAAGATGAGTTTTAAAAAATCACATACCAACAGCTTGTATTATATTTTATATTTTGTAAATACTGTATACCATGTATTATGTGTATATTGTTCATACTTGAGAGGTACATTATAGTTTTGTTATGAAAGTATGTATTTTGCCCTGCCCACATGGCAGGTGTTTTGTATATATACAATGGAGAAATTTTAAGTGTGTGCTAAGGCACATGGAAGACCAATTTATTTGCACAAGGTACTGAGATCTTTTTTTTTTTTTCCAAGAAACAGCTATCAAATCTCAAGGTGAAGATCTAAATGTGAATGAACATTTTACTAATGCACTACTGAAGTTTAAATCTAGGCACAATCATTATGAACATAGGGTTTGTCTGTGTTTCTCTAAATTGATTTTTGCCTTCTAATCTGTAATTACTGGAACACTTATATTCCCATTTCTACCAAACTTAATTTCTGGTTTTTGGTATATATCCATTCAAATTTAAATGCCTCTGATTTTAATTTTAAAGCCAACAAAATCGGTTGTAATCAAATTTTAAAATAATAATAATTTGGCCCCCCCTTTTAAACTAGTCTTGACTCTTTGTGTGTGTGACTGTTTTTCATGTTTGAATGTGTGATTAGATAATTTTATGAAAGAGGACTTTAACTTTTTATTTGCTGTGAATATCTTTTACTTACTATGACTTAACCATCCTTCCTCTATGAAATTTAGAAGATTCAATCATTAAGAAAATCTTTTTAAAAACTTAGTCTTGATGTGCTACCAGCTTTTACGGCAGGTTGGTAATAAAACCTGGGCCTCCCATGTGGCTTCAGCCTCTTAAGTACAGTAGCAGTACCCAGCACAAACTGGGTGCTGGATAGGCCAAAAATCTAATAATTAACACTCCCTGAGAGTAGGAATTTTCCAACTCAGAAGTGGAAATGGTTATGAGTTAGGATATATTTTTATATGTGAGCTGTTTCATAAAAGTGCCATTTGACCTGCCTTTTTTCAATGAAAAGAAAATGACATCACTTTGGTTTACTAAATTTACATTGATCTTGAATGATGGTACTTCAAGCATAATTAATATTAAAATGGTAGAGATTTTTTTGCATTCTGAAGTTTGCTTGAAGATAAATATGGCAGTGTAAAAATTTCATTTTTGTTTTAATAATATTTCTAACTGAAAAGTTGTAAATTCAACTCTATGAGTTTTAGTTTTGTTATACAAAGCTACTAATGTCTATCAACAAAAGGGAAATTTTTTTCTGAGTAACTGGGCAATATTTAGACATGAAAGATGTTAGATCTTAACTTTTTTTTTTTTTTTTTTTTAAGTTTGCTATAGGAGATATGTGCTCTCTTGAAGCAGGGGGAGTGAGAAATCACCCCTCAAGGGAGGATGGACACAAGACAATCCCTTTTCCATTCTCTTTTCAGAAATTTGGACACGTACGTGCCTTATGTGGTTTTTTTTTTTTGTTTTTTGGGGGGGAGAGGTTTTTGTTATAGGGCACGTGCGCTCGCCAGACAGAGAGACAGATTTAGAAAGCGAGAAATCACCCCCAAGAGGGGATGGCCACACCACAATCCCTTCTCCTCCATTCTCCTCTCGGGATCTTGGGCATGCATGCACACACACCCGGTGTGAGTTTAAGCCACCGGGTCCGCTACTCGAACCACGGTCGACTACGTGGGAGTCCAGCGACATAGCCATTACGCTAACTGCTGGTCCCCCTGATGTGTTTTCCAAGCTGAGTAGGCTGTGTAGGATATAGCCATCTGAACCTTCCTGTCACCTGCTGGCACCAACTTTTATTTTTTTTTTTCCTTCAAATTTCGAAAGGGGAAATGACATGTGGCAGAGAAAGTACCCCCCCAATGGGGCATGGTTGTGATGCAGTCTGCATCATTTTGGGATTTTGGGGTAGACACACACATTGTGCCTGCCATATGTTCTGGGACTGAAACCATGGTTGCAAGGTATCCAGTTCCCTATGCACAGTACTTAAACCATGAGGTTGGCTTAGGTCTTAACTTTCTTTGTATTTGGTTCATACTAGAGGAAGACACTTAACTTTCTGGCTGTTTAAGTGTGTGTGGTAATATGGGCATAATCCCAAAGCCATTGGCTTGGTCAAGAAGATAAAACTTGGATTATAGCATAAAATTTGATAAATAGTAATAGTGTTATACCTAGCTCATAACACAGCTAACCTTCTTTGGCACTTGCCATAACATGCTTGGTTTTTGTATGCATAGAGAAATTAGCTGTACATTGATACTCATGTTTAGATAAATCTGCTCTTAAAAAGTGCATTAAGAGATGGGCTAGCTGGTGTATCTCATTGTAGTGTACAAGTCCTAGACCTGGCTGCATGAATAACATGCTTGGGTGTGTGTGCATATATGACCAAAATTAGTGAAGGGAGAAGTGGAGAAGGGATTACTGCATGACCAGCCCCCATGGGAAGGCGGTACTTGTTTTCTCTATGACAGGCACATGAGCCCTTTGACAAATTTTAAAGTTAAATAGTGCACTCAGGAACTTAAAAGTACAGGTAAACTTCTACCTTAAAACTAAGACTTAAGGGCCAGCTAAATGGTGTGATTAAAGTGGCTGGTCTACTAAACCCAACAGCTTGGAAAACACATGAGGCGTGTGTGCATATGTGCCCAGAATCCCAAGAATTAACACACTGGTAAAATGAAATTAAAGGTCTGGGTTGGCTGACACCCTGGCCTAGTGCTTAAGGGAGTTAGATCCCACATGGCCACCTGCTTGAAAATAAACTGGGTGGATGGACATTTATGCTCCAGATCACCACAGGATGGAAGAGAAGAGATTGAGGCTTGACCTTGTCCTGTTTGGGAGGGAATGTTTTTCTCCCTCTATCTTTGGCAAGCACAGGGACCCCTCTGCCCTCCCACCCCCACCCCCAAACAAAAAAGTCAGATCCCACATTTTAACTGCAATTGTTAGCCTGAGGCACTAAGCATACCCAGGATATCACAAGCTGGGAGCCTGGGGAAGGAAATTAATACATGACCAGAGGCTGTTCATCCCCATGCCTCTCCACCTTTGCACACCACCGTTGCACACACATACAGGCTCTATTATGAATAAGAAAAACTTCAAGAGCTTATAGTTGAAAGAGTGGACAAAGTTGATTGACTTACTACACATGACATATATTCAGTGAAAAGGTATTAAAAGTTGAGTAGTTTTGCTGGTATAAATCCAGTTTAGTGGCTCATTATTATGTAGCCACCTTTATTTTTCTCCCATTGGGATCCGTTGAAATACATTTCTTCCAATGTTCCAGAAGTTGTCTTTGGTTTTCTGAGTGTATAGAGCGAACCATGTTTGTAGTCACCAGCTTCAGGCCTACACTTAATCAAGTGACTTGGTAAGAGGGGGTTCTTAATTGAAAAAGGGTAAAAGGTTTGTTTATAGATGCAGTTAAGTGGAAAAAATTATTAACATGCAGTGGTACATCACTACAGGACAAGTTTCAGTGTGGGTAATATACTGAAGTTTCTAGATAACTATATAATTCGATATTTTTATTCAAGTCACACCATTGATAAGTGATCTACAGAAAGTTGTTTTTATTTGCATTACTGGTTGGTGCTAAGTATTTTGTTAGTGTCCTCCCCATAAACAGATAACTGGAAAGGTAATAAAAAATCAGATAATACTATTGAAAGGTTGGCAGAAGTCATTTCTTTTCAAACTTTAAGATTTTTTTTGGCGGGGGAGAGGTTTGGAAAGCAAGAAATCATCCCTCAGGGGATGGCTATGCCTCAATCCCTTCTCCTCTATTCTCCTCTCAGGCTCTTGGGCATGCATGCATATGCACCTGGTGTGAGTTTAAGCCACTGGTCTGGGAGTCTAGCAATGTAGCCATTACGCCATTTGCTGGTCCCAAACTTTAAGATTTTTAAAGTACAAAGTTTGGGGTGATTTAAAAGACTGGAATGTATTAGTAATTTTGAAGGGACTAGCATAAGTTTGTTTTTAGGAATTATTTATTTTAATTTGACCCAAGAGGGACAGAGTGAGAAAGAGAAAGTGAGAAAGCAAGCCTCCAGGTTCAGGACTCAAACCATGGTTGCCCATGTAGGAGTCCAGCCCCCTCAACCACCTTGCCACCTGCTGGCCTCCCCCTCTTTTTTTTTTTAAGAGAAGTTTTTGCTATAGGGTGTGTGTGCTTGCCAAAGAGACAGGGGATGGCCATGCTGCAATCTCTTCTCTGGTCTCAGGCACACACACACCCCTAGCGTGAGTTTTAAACCACTGGGTCCAGGATTCAAACTGCAGTTGATTACATGGGAGTCCAACAATGTAACCCCTACACCATTGCTGGTCCCCCAGCATAAGCTTTTGAGTGTAGTACTATGTAATCTCTCTTTATTCCTTGATATTTTAGCTTAAAGCTAGTATGCCATACTAATATGGGACTGGAATAGAATCCCATCGTGCGTGGGAAAAATAACTTCTATGAATAGTTTTAACTTACGAGAAAAGATATAGTACTTGGTCTTTACCTGGCTTTGTTGAAAGGCCTTAACTTGTAATGTTGAGAGGGAGCAACACTAAGGCCCCATCTCAGCGTTTCTTCTGATCCCTGGCACCAGGCCCCAGAGTGCACCTGGGGAGGGAGGAATGAGGATTATGAGGTGCAATAGCTGTGGCAGATATGCTAGACTCCTTAATTGCCCTGTCCCCCAACCTCCAGCATGTTCTCAAGGCATTTAGACACCTGAGGGAGAGCATGGGCTGTCCTCCCTCAAAGCCACCCACTCCTGCCCTGTTATTCTTTCAGAAGCAGTGCTAAGTGCTGGTGAAAGCACTGATATAGGAATGCAGGGGTGATCAAGTCCACACTCACAATGAAATGGTTCTTGTCCAAACACTTGAGGAAGAATTAGAGATGCACACACACAGAGTAGGTATAGCAAAGTGGAGTTGACTGAAGGAGGGATTTCTATCTGGGTCTGAGGGGCCTTCAGGCTTGTTCTAAGTGGGGCTCACTCATACATTCCCCTTGTTGATGGGAGAGACACAAGCTGTATGGGTCCAATTACTCTTCTAAATTTTTGATTTCTGCATTTTATTTTATTTATTTTTTTGTTTGTTTTGTTTTTAAGAGAGATTTTTGCTATAGGGTGCATGTGCTCACTGGAGAGACAGAAAGTTGGGAGATCACCCCCCCAGGAGGGATGGTCACACCGCAAACCCTTCTCCGTTCTCTGAGGATCTTAGACATATACTCAGGCGTGCCTGGCATGAGTTTTACGCTGCTGGGTCTTGAATCAAACCATGGTGACTGCATTGGAATCTAGGGACATAACCATTTCTTCATATGCTGGTCCCTGATTTTGGAGTGGGTACCAAGGTCAGGAGATTCTTTACTAGAAGCTGTTGCGCTATACAAACCATTATCTTATCCTCTTCCTGGAATGTGGCACCTGGGAAAAACCTTTGTTTTAGGTCTAGGTCATGTTGCCTAGGTCAGTCACTGAGCCACTGCTTCGAGAGGTCTCTGTGAGCGAGCAGTTGAACTGCTTTGTCTCCATCTTAAAACAGTCATTTTGTGATTCCATTTTGGGCCTATACCCTAACTATATTTTTAGGGTTGTCTCCTACCTCAGTACCATGATTAGTTTGAGATTACAAAAGGAGGAGGGGCTTGGTTTGGGGATTAAACAGGACAAAAGGTAGTAAGGGCAGACCAATTTTGAGTGGGGTTGTAAACCAATCAGGTTTTAGAAGGAAGAGAGTTTTTAATATGTAAAGGCAAATATGTCTGTTGGCACTTGTTATGAATGTCCATTGCAGCTCACAGGTGCAGAAACCTTCCTCACAAACATGGGAAACTTGTAGAAATTCAGCCCATAGTTTGGAAATTTCCTATATTTTTAGTCACTTTTTCCAAATGTGCTGCAAATATTAATACTAAATGTGCTGGCTGGAGCTAGCATGTAGGGTGTAGTAGTTAAGCTAGGACTCCCACATTGTCCACCACTGTTTAAGTGCTGGACATGGTGGCTTGAAAATCGTGTTGGGCACATTTGCATGCCTGCCCAAAATTTTAGGAGGATGGAGAAGGGATTGGCCATCCCCCCTTGGGGGGGGGTGATTTCTCACTTTCCTTCTATTTCTATTTCCTTCTATTTTCACTATTTCTCTCTCTCTGA